CGAATTCAATGTGTGTCCGGCTTCTCGTTTATTTTCAATATATGGAGTCGGGTCGGTGATGATAGCCTCAATTAAGCCTCATCTTTCCTTTCTCTGCATTAGCTGCGTTCGAAACAATCTCTTCTTCTCGCATGTTGGCAGCTGATCTTTCACTCTTCCACAGGTCGCATCTAGAGCATCTCCTAGTACTCGCATCGGTATGTTCTTCACACGCCGATCTATCACATCCGACGCGATTGTCCGTCTTTTGACGAAAACAAACGGCACAGACTTGATCCGCGGGGAGTGTGTTTCCCCTCTGCCCGGGAGGAGGATGCGTTGCACCTCCTACCAGCAGGGTCGATGCTCCCGCATTTGCCAAGGTCGTCTGATCAAATTGCGCAGGGGCGGATACTATGCCCGACGACTGAGCCGTCGACAACTGGTGCGGGCATGAAGTTACACGCTGAAGGGAAGATCTAGCTTCCTCATGCGATTTAAGCTCTTCCAGATAGAGATTGTTCTGGTTGGTTATCTTCGCAGCTACGGTTTGGGTGTTAGCTGCTTCCAGCCTGGCGATTCTGAGCTCTTCTTGTAAGTCATGTTTTCCCGTTCCGCCACGGCTGTCGCGATTTGCTCTCCTTCTATCCTGGCCACTGCGACGGCAGCGGCAACCGCGTTGGCGTCGGCAGACTCCTTGTTTGCCATCAGTGCGGCCTGTCTCTCCGAAGTCAATAATTCTCTGTATTTATGTTCGGCTTCCCGCTCCACTTGCCATTTAGCGGCCTCGGTCTGATTATACAGATGTTCTATCAGCGCCTGTTCCCGCTCTCTAGCAGCCATGGCTAGGGCGATTCGCTCGGCCTCGAACGTTTCTCTAGTTTCGACCAGAGTTTCAGTTAATTCTTCTCTGTCCAGTCGAGCCCTTTCGGCCAGCTGCGCTTCATTGGTCAGAATCTCTCTCTGAGTGTTTGCCTCCGCCAGCCTGGCCTGGTCCTGAATAGACTGTATGAAGACATACGTGCAGTTATGCTCGTTCATTGGGTAACACTCCGCGCGCAGCCATTGCATGTTACACCTGTTGCAAACGTCCGAGTAACTCTTGCACGCTGGGTTCCTGAACGCGCCTTATGGTCTGCTGGCTTTTCCTGGGCATCTGCTCTCCGCCTGAGGCGCGCAGTCAGGATTGGGGTTCCAACATGCCTCCATCATGGAAACTGAACTGTTGCTCCTTGACGTAGATCTCGCCCCTGATCTTGGCATCTTGGGTATTCCCCTGCTTGAAGCATTTGACCTGGGGCGAATGAATGTACTTTCTGGTGGTTTAGGCGCATTTGAGAACTCCTCATCCTTTTCGTCTTGTGTTATTAGCTGTGCATGCGTAGCTGGTTGTCCGACCACTTCTTCATCCTCAACAACGGCTGGAATCGAGGGTTGCCACTCACCTGAGGTGGTGGCATTACGGAAGAAACCTTCCTTCGGTGGCGGGACGTTTAGCTCGTAGTCCTCATTCCGTTGTTTCTTGAGGTGAGGCGCGGGGGTTCGTCCTGTGGACTCCCTCTCATGCTTCATCTGAGCCTCCGCCCTGTCCGCCTGAGGCGTCAGGATACTAATGTCTTCATCGGATCCATCTGGGGACCATCTTTCGACTTGAGCAGGGATGTCTTCTTCCATCATCGCGGGCAATGCTCGGCTCAGGGAGATATCATTGTTGATGATATCAAAATCTTCTTCCATGGAATATATTTCGTGATCTTTTCCAATTGGTCATCGCTGTCCTGACCGAATTGTCCGTTAAGTGCTATTGGGATTGGGGCGTTGGCACTCGTGCCCGCCCATTCGGTCGGGATAGTAGGATACGTACTCATATTCCCTTGGACTTCCCCTGGCCGGCCGGCTTCACCAGCGGCAATAGCCGTAGCGTGTGGAGTACTCGGAATTGAGCTGATTGGCTCCGTCGATTTGGCACTCCGTGACGAAAACGCACTTCGTCTGGGTCTTGATGCGACGCCATCTCGCCCGTACGGGTCCGGGGTTTGCTCACGATTACCTATCGGAGCTCCCGCGGGAGATGCGTCTATCGACATTTCGGTTATCCCCTCGGTACTTCTTCCCCTGACTACCCGAGTGGCGATGTATGAAGGAGGGGCTCGGTCCTGAACTGGACCGTCTCTGTCTGCGTCGTGTCCATCATGTTGTACAACGCGCCTATCGGCGCCTCGCGAGACATTGGACACGATATCAGTCTTATCATAGCTCTTTCCCGCAGCGACTGAGTCGCGGGGCACAACTGAAGAATCTTCTTCTGTACTTGATGGCCCCGCGTCGACTGAGTCGCGCGTTTCGGCTGATAACCAGTCTTTCCTCTGAGAATCGGGGTAAGATGGCGAAGGAATTAAAATCTCATGTTCACTCTGCTCAGGGAGAGAGGGGACGGGATGAGACATTGATAAGACAAGTGTCCGCTAAGCAAGACTACTCTATCAGGAATGTGAAGGGAGGAGGTCGGCCGGGGACGGACGACGACGAGCCGCCCGCACGCCCAGCGCACTCTTTTTCTCTCCTGCAAGCCGAGGTTGGCTTGCCCGAGCAGTCATACAGCTGCGGAACGCAGCTGTCAGTTCCAGCGGGCAGTGCAACGCATGCAAACTAAGTTATGTCTTCATTGATTATGAAGCGGAGAGGATCATATTTACTCTGTCAGCACCCGCCTTGGTGGAATAACGCTCGCGGACATGCCGCGGGGGTTCCACGGCCGTTGTGTCGATGCGGAGCTACACTGTCAATGCCTCGCCGACCTGGGGCTTTGCTGCGTTCTTGCTCGCTCGAGCATCTGACACGCGTGCGGAGCTACGCTGTCAACGCCGCGCTTTCTTGTGGCTCTGCTGCGCTCCTGCTCTGAGCGCACACACACCTCTTGAGGCGGCGCGGCGGGAGCGGCAACAGCAGCAGCAGGAGGACGGGACGAGGAATGGCGGAGAAAAAACACGCGAACCCGCGACCCTCCGGAACCCAGAGGGTGTTGCCGTCAAGAGGGAGGCAGGCGCCAAGCACGAAGGGTAAGCCACACCTTGAGGCGGCGGAGAGCTCGAGATATCCATGCTCAATCTCCCCAGATGCGGGCAAAACTTGCGCCCAGAAAACCGAGGAGCACTGGATATGGATAAAAATCAGGCCCCTACTAGAGGCTCGAATTTTATCCATATCCAGTGCGCCTCGGCCTTGCGGCGCCCCTTCCTCGAAAGTCCAAGACGCCCTGGACCAGGCCCTGGATATTGCCCGCACCAGACCCCCGACGTCATGATTTTTTCATGACGCGACCCCCGGAGGTCCGGACCCATTCCTCGGGACTGGCTTTTCGTCCCGAGTCGCTTTTGGACGGTCCCGAGGCCTGGTGAGGGCTCCTGGAGGCCGAAAACAGCGAAGAACCTGCCGTCGTGATTCTTGTCATGACTCGAGGGGGTCTTGGTCCCACAAGCGGAGAACGCGCCGCAACTTCAACCCTCGTCAACCGCTGCTGCCCCCCGTGGAACAATCACGGCCCGCCCGCCTGGCTGGGGCTCCTCCGGCCCGGCCGGGTGCCCCCCTGGCGTATCTCGGCGCCGCTGATTTGAAGGGGCCCAGGGACACACAAGCAAACATGCACAAATAGCAGGATTCTCCATAGTTTCCCGTATTTTCTGGGTTCGTCTTCCCCCACACTTCCCATATTTTCCCATACTTTCCTGGGGATCGACGATGAATCATGTCTGTGTGTTTTTTCCCCTCCTGATGATTACGGGAAGCGGGGGGGGGGCAACCACCAGAACGACGTTACTGGCTCATGGTCTACAAAAAAATCAAGGACCCCCACTTTGAGCAGGGACCGACCGCCCTGGCTTTCCTGTAGGCCTGCGACGCAGTTTGCTTAGAACCCAAGCATGTTCAAGTAACGAAAGCCACGTTCTTAGAACATTATGCCGATGTGTTAACACAAGACAGCCCCAACCAGAAATGTTCTTAGAACATTTCGTGCGGACCACAAAAGGTTCTCAGAATATTCTCGGGTGGGCCTCTGCGCAAGCCAGGACGCTTCGCCACCGCTTGACCGCAGCTGCTGCTCCCAGCGGGAAGCACGGCCGGCACGCCTCCAACACATGGAGTTGCCTCCACAGGGGGAAGATGATCCCAGTTTGCGGTGCTGGTACACCCTGCGAAATGCTTAAGAAATCATGGGTTAAGAAATTCATAGTCTCAGAAATTGACTAAAACCCAGAACTTCTATCAAAATCTTGGGATTTACATTCAAAAATTAAGAACAATCGAGACTCTGGCCGAAACTTTAGGTTTTCTTAAGCATCGCCTAAGGTGTAGTCATCTTTCGGCCACCTGGGAAGCCCGAATAGGACCACCATCACCGAGGTCGAGAATATCCTCCCTCTGCGGAGGCACACCGCTGATAGTGGTGTTGGTGTCGACCTGTAGCATTGCACCAGCCTTGCAGACGTGCTGCAGCGGATCTCTGCGTGAATTTCTGCGTGGCTTTCTGCCCCGCAGCGGCGAACAAAAAACGAAATGAGTTTCGCGTGGGTTCTTTTGGTCTTCATTCCTGGCCGGAAATCCGCACGACATTCACCTTGAAATCCGGAGCGAAATTCTCCAGGACACCCCGGGCCCACCCTATCGTTTTCCCAACGAAATCCGCTCTGCGACGATGGCGCCATGAGACCTCTAGGCCTCCGACAGGACCCCCCCCAGTTGAGCAGGGACAGACTGTCCTGGCATTTCTATAGGCCTACCACGAAGTTTTCTTAGAACCCAAACACGTTTTAAGAACAAAGACAAGTTCTTAAAACATTATCCCGATGTGTTGAAACAAAAACACTCCCAGCCAGAATGTTCTGAGAACTGTTCGCGCAAACCACGACACTTTCTTAGAACATTGTTCGGTAGGCCTGTAGGCACGCTGGGACGCTTCGCCACTGCTTCACCAGCAGCTGCTGCTCCCAGTGGGAAGTCCAGCCGGCTCGCCTCGCCGGGGCTCCTTCGGGGGCCTGCGGGCTCTGGCCCGCGCCTCCGCCGCCGCGGCGCATGGCGCCCCGGCCACCGCCGCCATCGGCGGGCGGCGCGGCTCTGCGCTCGCGTGCCCCAACAGAGCGGGGGGAAGGGAGAGCGAAGGGAGATGATGATGATGATGATGATGATGATGATGATGATGATGATGATGATGATGATGATGATGATGATGATGATGATGATGATGATGATGATGCTAAAACTAATAATAATGATGATGCTGATGCTGATGCTGATGCTGCTGCTGCTGCTGATGATGATGATGGTGATGATGATGATGATGAGGCCCTCCTGTTCCTCCTGTGCGCCTGCTGGCTTATTTCGCAGGCCTGTGGGCCTGAGTCGGTGACTTTTCATATATCGCAGCTTACTGAAAGAACGACCAGCCCCGCTGCTACGAGGCGGGAGGTGAGGGCCTCCTCCCTCGCCTCGCCTCCCCTCGCCGTCGCTCGGACGTCCATTCCACGTGCATGCTTCGATGTCGTGCGCGTAATTGTTCGCAAGATGGTCCAAAATGCTCCTCAATTGTCCTCGCCGAGAAGAGATGAAGACACCTCCCGTCGTGCCCATCCGCCCTCGCCCCCTGCCCCCCTCCCCCCCGGCGGCGGCGGCGGCGCGACGGCGACTGGCGCAGGTCGGCGGGGGCACGACAGGGGGAGCCGAGGGGCCACGGCGGGGCCGAAGTTTCGAGGCTCAAGGTTTTGGCACGTTCTCGTCGGCTATCGGCAGCTTTCTGGCCTCGGGATGCCTTTCAGCGGCATCGCCTCTGCGAGGGGCGCCTGGGGGTTCCCGGACCGTCCCGAGGTGCCGCCGAAGGCCCGAGCTACCCATGGCCCGGAAACCAAAAGGGGACTGGCTCATGGGGGGAGACACCGAGCTTGAATCTTCGATATAGCGAATCCGCACGTTCCTGGGCGGGGCGGGCTATCAGGTCTCTAATCGGCGATGCATCGGCGATTTGGGGTCGATGCATCCACCTCTGAGCCTATCCCCCCCGAGCGTTGCACCTGAGGGAGGGCGGTCAAGCCTCGGAAATGTTCAGCAAGTTTCCGTAGGCTCTTCGAGGTTTGCTCTCCTCAGAAAGCTCTCCAGCTGCGCATGCGCCGAGAGCGTGCACAAGAGGTGCCTGGATCGTCCCGAAGGGCGGCTGGAGGCCCAAGCTAAAACGGGGACCTACTGACCCGAGTCAATCCAGACCCGGTTCAGCTGGGCCTCGCAAGATCCTGCACGATCCTGGAGGATCCTGCATCCAAGCCCGGGCCAGTGCACCCCTGGCCCTGCAGGATTCTGCAAGAAACGGCGCTCTGACTGACCCCCCTCTGCAGTGGCCCCCGCCACTTGAGCCCCGACTAATGTCAGGAGGTCACAGAACGGTGGGGTGGGGGCCAATGTGGGGTTGGGGGGACAAGCGCTCCGCACGGCCCCTGGAAATAGGAAGCGCGAGAAACGGGATTATCCAGCTGGGCCCGTTCGCCAGCCTGGAATATCAGGCGGTGACCTGGAATTCACAAAAAATCACCGCTGGGTTTTGGATCACGAAGTCACCGCCGGGCTTTTGTGACTCCTGGACCCACCAGCGTTCGGGGCATCCTCGAAACGCCGCACGAGCCCCCAGACCAGGAGGCGACACCAGACCGCTCGAGGCTCACCGCCGGGTGTTGCCACCACCACGTTTGGGGACTACCGACAGCCCCACCTTGGGATAACCCTCCCTCTGTGAGCCCCAGACAAAAGTGTCGCCCACCCTCCGCTCCAGGCGGCGCCACGGGAAGGTCGCGGCCGTTGGCTCGGCCCCGCCCTCGGCCTTCCGAGGCGGGCCCGTCGAGGGCGCCAGGAGGACGGCTCGGGGCGGAAGCCAGCGGGGGCGGGGGGGAGGAGGGGCACGCGTGCGGGAGTGCCACGTCGCCGATGCATCAGCAGCGACGTCGACGATGCCTCGGCAACATCGGCGCGGAGGAATTCGGGCTCCATGTCGAGTCCCATCGCCGATGCATCGGCGATGCGGCGCGATCCTCCAATTCCATCTACTCGGACCCCATCCCGGAGGCCTAGATCTACAACGAAGCCAGGACGAGGACAACATCGCGGGGGAGGACAAGTCCAGAATTTGTGAGACCCATCGGCTCTGGGTGATATCTAGGGCGCCGCGGCCTTTGGAACGGATCTATCTTCGTCCTGCCCCCGTCCGAACGTGGGTCCCCCAATCCTCTCCGAGAAATCCTCCCCTCAAATCCTGGCGACGAAAAAGATAATAACGACGGCCGGTTTTGATCAGGGACCGGTCGTCCCGGCATTCCTGTAGGCCTACCACGAGAGTATTCTTAGAACCAGAACGCGTTCCGAGGGCAAAACAATGACGATGTTCTTAGAACATAGGCCCGATGTGTAAACACAAAACAGTCTCGACCAGAAATGCTCTTACGGTAGGTTCGTGCGGCGTCGGCGCGCGCAAAGGCTTTTGACACCGCGTCGATCGTTCAGCACTGAATCGATCGCGGCCCCCATTGTTCAAGGTTGAATTCCATCGGGTCCTGCGGCGTTGCCGTGTCCCTCGGTGCTTCCGCGTCGCAGAACTCAGCCTTGAACGCCTTCGCCAGCGTCGCCGGCGTGCCAACGCCGCGCGAATCTACCGTAGAACATTCGTAACTCGGGTTTGGATTCCCGAAAAAGGAACCCGAATTAGCCCTGACCCGAGTTACCCCTGATGATGTGGGGCTCTGGACGCCCGAATTATCCGGGGTAACTCGGGTCCCGGGTAAGTCTGGTTCGGATTCCCAAAGAACGAACCCGAGTTAACCCTGACCCGAGTTACCCCTGATGATTCGGGGCTCTGACAAAATCGGGGATGGACAGACCCCCCTTTAGTAAAACGTGGTTTAGTGAAAACGACCTGAGGCCCAAACCTGGCGGGCGCAAACCTGGAAATTAACGGCCACGGCGCCCTCTCGAGAACCGCAAACGGACAATTCACTAATCGACGTGTCACTGTTGGGGGTTCTGTCCACCCACGAATGATTCGGGGCTCTGACAAAAGGTTCTTAGAACATGATTTGGTGGGCCGAGACGGGTCCGGGAGCCGCGTGGGGCCGACCACTGGCACGAGCTCTTGTCGTCGCTCGGACGTGCATTTTTGTTGATGCATTCGTCGGCTTTTTGTGCGCGCTGTTCTTCGGGAAAGGAAAGGGTGCTCCTCGATGGCGTCCTGGGCGAAAACATGCACACGCCCGAGCGATGCCACGCCGACGGCTGGCCCGGGTCCGAAAACGCTTGGAAACTGCCTCTCGCCATCGCTCGGACGTCCAATCCCCGTGCGTGTGTTTCGTTCTCGGGGGCTGTTTTTCCCTACCTAGGCTCTGCCTAGAAGGATTCTTACCCTCTGGGCTTAAAGGGCCGGGCAGTGGAAACCGCCCCAGGCGGTTCCCCGGCATCCGCCCCGCGGTTCCCCCAGTTACGTCCCCTTAGCTTAGCGTTGCTTATCTCATCTTAGCCTAGCCTAGCTTAGCTTAGCTTAGCTTTGCTTAGCCTAGCCTAGCCTAGCTTAGCTTAGCTTAGCCTAGTTTAGCTAAGCGCAGCATTAGCATAGCATAACATAGCATAGCATAGCATAACACAGCATATCATAGCACAGTATAACGCAACATAGCATAGCACATCATAGCATAGCACAGCATATCGCAGCATAGCATAGCATATCATAGATTAGCATAGCGCAGCGCAGCATATAATAGCATAGCATATCATAGCGCAGCATATCATAGCATAGCATATCATAGCGAAATTGTAGATGTAGATGTATATGTAGGTGTAGGTTTAGATGTGGATGTAGGTGTAGATGTAGATGTATATGTAGGTGTAGATGTAGGTGTAGATGTAGATGTGAGTCTCGCTGTTGATGTTGATGTAGATGTAGATGCAGGTGTAGATGTTAATTTAGCTGTCGGTGTAGATGTAGATGTTGCTTTCCTAGATGCTCCAACTCCTAGGTAGGGTCGCACTGGGATAATTATCCTTGGGGGGGAAAATGCTCCAATCTGCTCTTCGATGGCCCTCGCCGAGCAACCGTGCACCCGTCCGAGCGATGCCATGCACTTGAGCAGGGACCGACCGTCCTGGCATTCCTATAGTCATACTACGAAGTGTTCTTAGAACCCAAAAATGTTCTAAGAACAAAAACAATGCTCTTAGAACATAAACCCGATGTGCTAAACTAAAGCAGACTCCACCAGAAATGCTCAGAACGTCTCGTGGGAACCACGAAAGGTTCTCAGAACATTGCTTGGTAGGGCTATAGGCGAGCCAAGACGCTTCGCCACTGCTTGAATGCACCTGCTGGCTGGCCTGCGTACTCGCGACCTGGCCTCCGCCGGCCCGGGACTGCGCCGACCCAGGTCGGGGGCGCCCCCGGCAGGGGGGGGGCGGCCGAGGGGCCGCTGCTCGAGGATCTTTGAAGGGGCCCTGGGACACACAGATCAATACACACACATATAAAACTATTCCCCATATTTTCGCATATTTGCTGGGTTCTTGTCTTCCCCGCCACTTCCCATGTATTCCCATAGTTTCTGGGGGATCGACGATCAATTGTGTCTGTGTGTTTTTGTTCCCTCTTGAGTCTTGCGCGCTCTCGGCCCTCTCTGGGAGCCCTCTGACCGAGACCCCTGGAGGAATCCCTAGGGGAACAGAAAGTGACATAGACATAAAAACTCGGAGGTCCGCGCGGATTTCTCGGATCGGCGCTGGACCCCCCTCCCTGGCGCGCGGAGCGCGCCAAGGGCGGCGCCGAAGGCGCCGCCGGGGGGCCCCAGCGCCGATCCGAGAAATCCGAGCGGACCTCCGAGTTTTTATGCTTATGTGACTTCCTGTTCCCCTAATCTTGCGCGCTCTCGGCCCTCTCTGGGAGCCCTCCGAGGCCACTGGAGGAATCCAGGGGCCTCGGCATGAACGCCGCGTCACACCAACGTGCCCCCCGTGTCGCCAATCAAGCTCTGCTCACAAAAAAAAAACCCGGCGGGGCTCCTGCTGGGATGACCGCGGGGGGTACATCCTAAGGGGGTAGGGGAGT